GGGCGGAGGGGGTGGCGCCTCTGCTGGTGTTTCAACGCATGGAGACTGAGGCTGGCTAAAGACAGAAATTCAAAGCAGGCAGGTGCAACGAGAGGACAGAAAATCTGCACACTCCATGGAAATAATTCCTTTTCCCAAGAAATAATTTAGTGACACCTTCACAACTAGGTGCTCCACCACATTACATTCAATAATCACTAATAAAAAAACAATTCAGTCCAAAACCAAAACACTTCTCTTTGCCCCTCTCCAGCAATGCAACATCAACAGCATTGGTCCATGGTAGAATCTATGGAATACTGGGAAAACGCATCTGTCAGTCACATTTAATAATTGTTTAACTTTCCAGAAATAGTAGTACGTAACCTCATAAACATAACCTGGCACCTTACAAAACAGAAGAACAAGGCTTCCACCTTGCTAATGGGCTAAGGGCAAAAATTCCAGCTGGCAGTTTTGCCTCAGTGGGGTCAGAAATTCACCTTTGCTGCCCAAGCCTGCTCTTGGTGATGCTGGGGATGACTCCCATGAAGTCCGCATCAGACCAAAATACGAAGAGCACTGTAGTGTAGCACTGGCAGAGTCAGCAGTTAGCTCCATACGTGGCAGACTCACCAGAAAGGTCGTGATTTCAATAAGCGCTACAAAGAGGGGTTTTGGGGTGGTTTTTTGTTTGTTTTTAAAAAGCTTTTTCCTCATAGTTACAGCTTTAAGAGTCGTTTGCCTCTACACTTATTTATTTCTATGCATAACCTCTCTACACTCAAACCAGGGCAGGGAGATAATTCAAGAATGCCTTTGCTTCTGTATCTCCATGAAGAGGAAACAAAATGCTGGAGAATTTATGTCCTTCTGTCACATACACAGGACCACCGATTTTAAATTTTTCCGAGATGTCCATTGGTCTCTATTTGATTGTACATCTCAAGACAAGGCTGCGTGATTTTTCAAAACACTACAATAGAAAACAAAAATTGAGATTTTTGCCTCATATAAGTCTATAATGAAGCTGCTGTGCTCCATGTGCTGTTTGAGGTCCTATTTCTACAAATGTGTGCAGAAGCTTAGCATTAATCATCAGCATCAACAAAACTGCTAATATACTTAAGAGTCTAAGAACTCGAGAATTACAGAATTAGGCTTTAACAATCCAGAATTCTCCCCTGCTGTGCTGTGAACATTTTATACACATAAACACACAGAAAATACAAATGCAAGCTGCTCACAGGGGAAATTAGCATATTATGAACTGGTAGAAACTTTAATAGCAGAAAGAACAAAGTTATGCTAACAAAGCACTGGGTGTGTCAGTTCAGTTTCCATAGGTTTTGCTTTTATTCACTCCCAGTATATGAACTGGCGTAAGCTGCCATGCCAGAGGCAGAAATGCTGTCTGTCCCCGGCAGGCAGCTGTACGGAGATGAGTAAAGCTGGCAGGAGAGCAGTACCCAGTAATACAGCTTAGGCTTCACCCGGGCTATCAATGAGGAAACAGTCGTAGACAATACCATGCCCATGAATATCTCTGCCCCCTCGCCCCAAGCTATTCAAGACACATTTTAAACCTCATTTCTGAAACCAAGCTGTTTCAGTTCAGTACAGCATTAACACACTGTGTTATGTATGGGCTGTGTAGTGTGAGCGGTTTAAATGGGATTCTGTCAAGTTAAAAATTGTATTTGAAGAAAAAAAACAACCTTCTTCTGCTACTAATATTCAAATACTGAAATGGAAAGACCTTTCATAAATCATGGGATTCTTCATGTTTACACCTTTAACTCCCTCATTTCAAATCATGAAGAGAGTTAGCCTTTCATTCAGCTAGCTCAGCATCCTGGCACAATGTTGCCGTTTTGGACCATGAGCGCATTTGCCAAATGAAACAATAATTTTAAAAAACAATAAATCTATTAATAATAGATATTTTTTTAATCGTAAATATGATTTCAGTGTTTCAGTGAAGGAGGAACTATAACTTTAATATTATCAGATACCAATGTCCCATGCTAAACCTGTGACACAAACTAGCTGCCAGCTAGGTCCATCGGTTCATTGCAAACAAAGTATTAAGAAAATGCTGGTCCTTAGGCTAGCTCAGCTCTGGTATAGGAAACAGGAATTTCAGAATATTTGTTGCTTTCTCCAAGGCTGTTACATCTATTTATTTATTTGTAACCAAAGGTTATGAAAATGGTCTACTATTTGCCATGAGTTAATGGTTAACTGCTGATGAAAGATGGTTATTGATTACTGCGGACACTGATCAGAAAAGGCATCCCATCAGCCAGCAGCTGCAGGAATTGCTCCCAGCAGCAGCACAGCATCCACAAACCTGCTCTCTGTCTCACCACATACCATGAGCACTGCAATAACCCTGGTCCCTCTTGGCCCTGGGGCAGGAGGGGCTGCACACAGAGCAGAGAACATGGGGCTCACATAAGAAATGAGCAATCTGTTATTTCAGCGTCAGGTCTTGGTATGACCTTTCCGTCGCTCTTGGCAGTGGTACCAGAAGAGAGCCCTTTCAGAGCTCCCCAGCTATCTTTTTATGCCAACCATCTTTTTATGCCAACCATGTACCGGGACTGGCAGCTATTGATAGTCTGTCTGACTGTGAGGTTACACTGAGAGATCTACCTTTTCCCATTTACACTTAATATTACTCAAAGAGGAGCAGAAATCCACAGTCTGCAATTCTCTGGCACTTCTGTCTATGAGCTCTCAAGCACAAATCTACGACAGCCATGAACTGCTTTGATAAATGAAGTTATTGCCTCATTTCTTTGCCATTGCTCCAGTGAACCATCAGAAGAAAAAGAGGGATTTATTGTGGATGTTAAACTTACGTTGGCCTCTCCAGCAAGTGATCTGTTATGAGCAGCTGTCAGTTCGTTAACTCATTTTCTCTAAGAGACTAGTCATTAACTCCAGGAATGAATAACCACAGAGACGATTAGCATACTAAAAAAGCACATGTATAATTCCAAAAGTATATTTTGGAAAATATATATGCAGCTGTGGTGTGAGTATAGCGTGAGCTCATAACTGCCTAGGAAAAGCACTGATTACATGGCTGCTCAGGTCTGGTTTTCCACCAGTCACAGCCCAGACTGCACACTGCAAGCTTGTGAAAGCCTTGACATAACAGCTACATCACTTTTTTTTTCCCCCCAGATTTGATTCCAAAGCTTGTTAAACCGCCTATGAAGAATGTTCTGTTGCAGAGCAAGCACGTCTCGTTTCTGACACTTCACTTGACATGACTTCAGATCAACTGCTTCAGCTTTTACACGATTCCTTGCCCCTCCTGACACCTCTATTCTAAGCAGCCCACTGTGCCTCCAGTTCTTTAACACATCAACTGTTGCATTTCCACTCAGGTCACCAACTCTCCTACAGATCTGGTGTCTCTCTTTACCTAGAAAAAGATGTTATAAGATGTTGCATATACCCAAAGTTTGGACAGAGGTTGGCTGAGCAGGAGCACAGTGTCACAGCACTCCTTTGCTGTGGTGAGGAGATGTTTGCATCCTTACGTAGTTTTTAACCAAATATGAGAGTAGAGACTGAACAAACACACTCTGTGGACCGCAGCAAAAGACCACCAACAAAAATGACAGTAGAAAGAGAAGGAGCTCCCAGAGACTCCATGCTGGAGTTAGCTACAGCACACTGCCAGCGCTCCCCACACCTTTAGCCAGTCCCCTTCACTGAGCCTGACCGTGTCAGTCAGAACATCTCCGGACGCCACCAGGCAAGCCTCCAGCACTGTACTGCAACACAGCCGTCAGAAGCACGATGTTCTCTGGGTAACTCATGCGTTCGCAAAATGCTAATATCAGCACCAGGAGAAAATAAGACAGGTATTTTCTGATGTAGTCAGTTGTTTTGCTCTAGACGCAAGAGACTGAACGTAATGCATTATAGCAACCAAAGGTATGAGCAACAACCTAGAGAAGATATTAAAGCTATACAATTTTTGTTTAGCCTGCTATAACGTACTTTTGTAAGAGTTCCCTGTAGTAGCCTATGCATTAGAAGAAGTTCCATTTGGGAATCAATCCTGGGATGTTCTTTTGACCATGCCAGTGCAGGCTAGTACTTCATACAGACTTCACCAGGTACCCAGAACTGGGAAAAAGGCAGTAGGCAAAGGTTAAATGGAGTACATATAATAGGAGATATATAACCACCTTTCGGCCAAGCTTCGTCCTCAGACGTGTGGAACGCAGCCTGTGCCTAATACCATCCTCACTTAAGGTGACTGAAGTCAAAAGTTTAGCACAAATGCAAGAAAAATGGTACCATATGGCCTCTCAACTTCAGCACGCAGCAGCTGTGTGAGTCACAGGGGGAATCTGGCTATCGCACTCCTTGACAGCGTGCCACAGCTCAGGATGAGCTGCAGCTTTACTGTCTTACAGCCACACCGTATCTCCAGGATAACTGCTACATGCTGCCTACAGTAGGAAACAACCAAGCCCTGTCGTCAAGAGTTATGGTAAAGCTAAAATTAACAACTAACACATGGCACAAATGACTCCCTCCCTGCCTCTACAGTTCTGTTCATGCTGCAGTGCTGGGAAAAGGGCGGGTGAACATAACACTGGGCAAAATCGCCTTTTCTTCCCTCGGGCAGGAAAAGACCATCTCTATGTAAGTCCCCAACAAGCTTTTCCATACC